GGGTTCAACCCCTGGCCCCCCCGGTGCCCCCAGGTTCTGCCCCCTCCCCTCACGTGCCCCCAGGGTTCAACCCCCACGTGCCCCCAGGTTCAGCCCTCAGCCCCCCCACGTGCCCCTAGGTTCGGCCCCTCCCCCCACGAGCCCCCAGGGTTCAACCCCCAGCCCCCCCACGTGCCCCCAGGTTCGGCCCCCTCCCCCCGGCCCACCGGACGAAGTGGCTGTAGAGGCCGCTGGTGCTGTAGATGATGCGGGCGGCCTGCGATTCCTCGTGCTGGCAGCGGGTCAGGGACAGGGCGTCGTCCATGTGCCCCTCCTGGTGCAGGATGGCCTGGGGGGTGGGCAGAGCCGTGGGGTGAGCGGGGAACAGGAACCCCCCCAACCCGGCCACCCCCCTTCCTCTGGGCAGCCCCAGGGACACCCCCCAACCCGGCCACCCCCTTCCTCTGGGCAGCCCCAGAGACACCCCCCAACCCGGCCACCCCCTCCCTCTGGGCAGCCCCAGGGACACCCCCCAACCCGGCCACCCCCCTTCCTCTGGGCAGCCCATGGGACACCCCCCAACCCGGCCACCCCCTCCCTCTGGGCAGCCCCAGGGACCCCGTCCCGGTGTGTCCCACCCCACACCCACCTTCCTCTTGAGCAGTCCCAGGCGCAGGGCCTTGGCGTCGGGCGCGGCGTACGTCAGCCACAGGCCACTGGCCGCGTGCTGCACGAAGCACATGGTCTCGCCGTACTTGATCTCTGCGGCCCCCATGCCCTCCACGTCCCGCTTGGGCGCCACGTCCAGCTTCTCCTGCGGGGGGGGGGTCAGAATGGGGAGGGGGCGCCGTGAGGAGATGGAGGGCACGAGGAATGTGGGGGGGATGGGGATGCTGGGAATGTGGGGGGCCGTGAATGTGTGTGTGTGGGGGGGATAATGAAAACATGGGGGCTGGTGGGGGCAGGAGGGCTGGCACAAAGCAGGCTGTGAATATGGGGTGAACGGGGGGGAGGGGATGGGGCTGGGAACGCAGGGAATGGGGGGGATGCTGCCATTGGGGGAATGGGGTGGGAAGGAGGGAAGGGCCTCGGCTCAGGCCCAGTGCCCCCCCCCCCCCGGCATAAAAGGACGAGCCGCAGCCCCCAACTCTCAGTTCAGCTGTCTCTGGGAGTCGCCCCACACACTGCCCCTGGGGAGTCAGCGCTGCTTGTCCTGGCACCTGGGGGCAGGCGAGGGGGCATCCAGCCGTCAGCCCCCCAGACAGACAGTCCACCCGGCGCTGAGATGCGGCTGCCTCTGGGGTGGGGCGTGGGGGTTGTTTGTACTCCCACACTCAACGCTACGGGAGGGGAAGTGAAGGAAAATCCCAACTTCAAGACAAATGTTAGGGTTTGACCCTGGCCGCGCCCCCCACGACCCTGCCCCGCCCCCCACAGCATGGCAACCCCCCAGCCCCGCTCTCACCTTGGAGGCGCGGAAGCAGAAGGCCGTGGCCTTGGTGTTGGCTTTCTCGGCGTCCATCACGACCAGCCCCTTCTCCTCGGTCAGGCCCAGGTAGCGCCCGGTGGTGACGTGCCGCACCCGGAACTGCTGCCCCCATCGCATGTAGCTCCCGCTCCAGCTGCCGGGGGGCAGAGAAACCCAGCGCTAGCGCCGCACATCGGCTCCGGGCCCCCAGCTCCACGGGACGCTGGGTCAGCCCAGACCCCCCCCTTCCGCCCACTGGATGCAAGGATTGTGGCTGGATTCGAACCCGCCTCCCATCCCCATCCGTCCAGTCCCCAACCTCCCCCAGTCCATAATTCCTCCCTCGTCCATACAGTCCCCCACCCCCTGCTCCGTACAGTCCCCCAGGTCCATAGAGTCCCCGACCCTCTGGTCCGTACAGTCCCCCCAGTCCATACATTCCCCAACCCCCTGGTCAATACAATCCCCCCCCCCGGCCTATACAGTCACTCACTTCCCTGTCCATGCAGTCCCCTTGGTCCATACAGTCCCCAACTCCCTGCTCTGTACAGTCCCCCAGTCCATACAGTCCCTGACCCCCTGGTCAATACAGTCCCCCCGGTCCACACAGTCTCCCCCACCCCCCCGGTCTATACAGTCACTCACTTCCCTGCCACACTGTCCCCTTGGTCCATACAGTCCCCGATCCTACAGTCCATGCAGTCCCCCCCGCAGTCGCTGACTTCCCTGTCCATACAGTCCCTTCCCCCACCCCATATCATCCAGCATCATCATCTGAGCGTGACGCCATCGTCCCAGGCCGGCGCCCCCTTTCTCTGGGGGGGCAGGAAGGGGGAGCAGAACCTGTGATTCCCCTACCTGATGCGCAAGGGTTCCAGCCTCCAGAGGGAGCGGGCGTGGGTGCAAACGGCGCCACCCTCGTAGTTCACCACCCTGCCAACGAGAGAGGGGGAGCGTTAGGGGTGGGGGGGACCGAGCCAAGCCCCCCCACATCCGTGGGAGCGCAGGCCAGATCCGGCCACCCCGGCTCACCACGGAACAGGCCGATCTCCCTAGAGACCCAGTCAGGCCCCAGCGGAGACAGGCCCTAAAGGCGCCGACGGAAACTGGGGTTTCCCCCATTGGGCCAGGCGCTGCACAGACACATAATGAGAGACGGTCCCTGCCCCGAAAAGCTTGCGAAGGGTGGGAGGGGAAACTGAGGCACAGAGAGGCTGTGACTCGCCTGAGGATGCCCAGCAGAGCCAGGAACAGAACCCAGGCCACCCCGGTCCAGTGCTGCCCCTCCCCTGGGTCATACGACCACGTCACTCTCCATCCCCCAGCCCAGGCAGGGACACCCAGGCCACACCCTTAGCTCGAGCTCCCAGCGCCCAAGGCCACGGGTTCGTGCCCCGCTGGGGTGGGTGTCGAATCGTTCTCCGGACTGTACCTGCGCTCCTCCTCGCCCTGCTCGCTGGAGGAGATGGTGAGGCATTCGTCCATGTGCCCGTGGAAGAGACGCATGACATGACCCCCCGTCACGTACCCTGGCAGGAGAGGAGAAACCAGCGAATGTCAGTGCAGGGACGGGGGAGGGCCAATGACGCAGGGAACCCAGGAGTCCTGGCTCCCACCCTCCCGCTGTAACCACCAGACCCACTTCCCTCCCAGAGCTGGGATAGAACCCAGGAGTCCTGGCCCCTCTCCCTTCTCTCTCCTATCAGAGGGGCAGGGAGTTGCCTCCACCCAGGGACCTGCAGCCCCACAGCTGCTAATGTCATGGCCGCGGGCTCAGGGGCTGCCCACAGGGCTGGCATGGGGCAGGGGATCCCGGGAGCAGGGCAGGGGGAAACTGACCTTCCTCGCAGCCCGAGCAGATGGGGTTCATGTTCCAGAGCGTCTGCATGAAGGAGGCGTCGGCCTGCAGGTCCCCGCTGGCCGTGGAGAGGTGCTGGGAGGGGGGAGAGAGACAGAAAGGCGGAGGGGGGGGGTCGGCGGAGGGCCAGGAGAGACAGCTGCCCGCACCAGCGCGAACCCAGGAGTCCGGGCCCAGAACCACCTGCCTCTCCCACATACCTGTAGCTGGGGTCTCCTCATTGGGTCAGCAGACACACGCACGGGGGGGCTTGCACAACCATGCGCACACACACGGATGTAGCCACACACATGCACAGACGGCTTGCACACCCACTCTGGTACACACACGCACGCTCCCTTGCACACATCCACACACACAACCCCTTGCACATGTGCAAATACATCCATGCCCCACATGTGTGCACACACACAACACGCATGTACACACACATATGCACACCCATGTGCACAGCCCTACTCACCAGGTAGCGCTCAGAGGAGACGCTGACCAAGATGAGGTCGTCCCCGACTCGAACCTTTTCGCCCTCCGACCGCTGCTTGGAGGCGGGGTGGATGATCCACCAGCAGGCTTCCCCTGGGGTCAGGGCACAGACAGAGCGTGGGTGCAACCGGCAGCCAGGGGGGCAGGGAGGGGATAGGCCCAGGGACAGCCCTGGCCCCCCTCCCGATTCGCAGTGTCCCCCCTCACTTGCTGCGCCCCCTTCGGCACCGCGAAGGCTGGAACATGGGGACCACCCTGCCCTGGACCCTCCCGCCAGCCCAGGGCACCAGGGCAGGAACCTGGCCCTACTGCGACAGGGCTGGAATTCACCCCATGGGGGCACAGCCCGGCAGCTGGGAACCCCCCACCCCGCTCCGGGAACTGGGGACGCGGTGCCCCACTCCTCCTCTCTTTAGTCTGATCACAGCCAGGCGCCGGCCAAGTCCCCTTGAGGGTTTGCCAGCTGACCATGGGGCTGTGCATCCGAACCTCTGGGGTCGGGAGTCAGGGCTTAAGGGGCATCCGAGCAGAAGCAGGGAGGCGTTGCCAACCCAGCAGGAAGGTGGCAGGCGTCTGCAGCTGGCACAGGCCCCTCAGCCGGGCAAACGCGGACAAACCATGACAGGATGAATGGAAACGCTTAGTGGCTACACAGCGCTGCATGCTGGGCAGGTGGGGAAACTGAGGCACAAAGCAGAGCAGGGACTTGCCCCAGGTCACATGGTGATCTGGGTCTGAGAAGGGGTGGGGCCTACTGCTGGAAGCCAGGACTCCTGAGTTCTACCCCCAGCTCTGGGCCAGGAGTGGGGTCTAGTGGTTAGAGTGGGGGGGCTGGGAGCCAGGACTCCTGGGTTCTCTCCCCAGCTCTGGGAGGGGAATGGGGTCTAGTGGTTAGAGCAGAGGGACTGGGAGCCAGGACTCCTGGGTTCTATCCCCTGCTGTGGGGGGTGGGGTCTAGGGATTACAGCAGCGGGACTGGGAGCCAGGACTCCAGGGTTCTATTCCCCCTGGCTTGCTGGGTGAGCTTGGACAAGTCACTGCCCCTGTATGTGCCTCAGTTTCCCCAACAGCAGTGTCTGTGCAGCACCATGCACAATCGAATCCCAGTCCATGGGCATGGCTTCCAGGTACTACCATAATACATTTAATTAAGAGCAATGAAAATGTCCAGCATTGCAATGGGTTCTGGTCCATGGCTGGGGTTCCCAGGTGCTACCGTAATACACCTAAACAACAACCTCTGCATTGTCGGCCGTGCCTCCCCTACCTGAGGCGTCCTCCTGCAGCCCCACATCGAAGGCCAGTTTGTCCGTCAAGGAGCGGGACGTGGTCAGGCAGCTCAGATACTGTCAGGGCAGGAGGCAGTAGGGTTAGTAGGGAGTGGAGCTGGCACCGCCGGGCGGTGAGGACGTTGGAGTGGGCGCCAGGACTCCTGGGTTCCATCCCCGTCTTTCGGGGGATTTTCGTACAGGCTTGCACGAACACTGTGCGCGCCTCAGTTTCCCTGTGTGCTGCGCGTGTAAAGAGGGGGTTTGTTGTTGCGCTGGACCAGGTGTGACCTCACCTGGCAGCAGGACCCTGACAACAGCCTGGAAATTGGGTACCCAGCAACTAGTGCCCGGGAGCCCCCGCCCCCTCCCCCCAGATTGGGAGCCAGCCGGGTCTGGCCAGTGGGCTGAAAACAGGCTGAGGGGAGAGGACCCTGTGACCTGCCCAGCGCAGCCGGGTCTAGCCAGCAGGGGAACAAAGGCCCCGTTGCCTGTTTACCTGGGACCTAAGACAAAGGACGGAGGAGGAGCTGTTGGGGGAGGGGACATAGGGGGGACAAGGAGCAGCCGGAGCCCACCTGAGCTGGGCCAGACCCAGCTGGTCGGGGCTGAGACTGGCCAGGCCCGAGGGCCCTGAGAACTGCCCAGGCTGTGTCCAGATGTTCAATAAACCTGGCGGAGAGTCAGTGCAGTCTGGAGATTGGGGGGGGGGGTTGCTCCCTCTGGGGGTGGGGATCCAGGGGCCCAGAGCGAGGGGACTCCCTGAGGGGGCCCACGGGAAAGAGAGGCCAGCTGGAGACTCAGAGGTGCGGTCCCAGACAGAGTGAACCCCCGAGAAGGGCGTCACTAAGGGGGCTCCTCCCAGGGGCCGTACGGAGCCGAGAGCGCCCGGGGCTCGGGAGTCCGTGCGCGGAAGGGGCTCTCGACAGGCCTCCAGGCTCAGCGGGGCTGCGGAACGGGGCCGGAGAGCTGCCCCGGGACGGCTCACATCTGGCATTTGCTCCTGGCAGATCCGTGCTGCGCCCCGTCGCCCCTTGGCATTCCCCGGGCATGGAGCGCATGACGCGGGTGTTTAAAATAGAGCCGCCCGGCCTGGAAGCCTGTGAAGCAAAACAGCCCCAGCTGTCGGCAGGATCCTGGAGGGCGAAAGGGCAGAAGGGCATTTGGGGCGGTGCCAACAGAGCCTTTGGGCACAGAAAGAAGCCAGTGGAGGAAAATGAGGCGGCGAAAGGCCGGAGCCGCTGGAGGAGCAGCACCGGAAAATGGCACAATGGCACCACCCCCTGTGCCGGGCGAGTGCCCAGTGCCTTGGGCGCCCGGGGGAGCTGCAGAAAGGAGCGGGGTCTGCCGTGCTGGCCCGGGGAAAGGAGTGACCCCAGCCGCTGTGCCCATCACCTCGGCGTCCCGCCCAGCACGGCTCTCCAGCCGCTGTGTCCATCACCTCGGTGTCCCGCCCAGCACGGCACCCCAGCCGCTGGGCCCATCACCCCGGTGTCCCGCCCAGCACGGCACCCCAGCCGCTGTGCCCATCACCCCGGCGTCCCACCCAGCACGCGTACCCACCCTGCACTGCACCCCAGCCACTGGGCCCATCACCCCGGCGTCCCGCCCTGCTTTGCACTGCTCCCGCTCTGCCCCCACCCCCCCTCACTCACCATGGCGCTGTGAGAATGGCGGAGCAGGATGGCGTGGCCGTAGAGCAGGGTCCTGTGCCCACCGCCCTGTGAAGACTGGGGGGAAGCAGACAAAAGGTGGTGGCCGTCAGCGAGGGAACTCGGCGCCCGCCAAAGGACGGGTGAGACCAACGACCCGGGGAGCTGCCGGAGGGGCTAATTCCAGCATTGAGACCTGCTCAACTCATCTCACTGGGGACCAACTTACCGCTGACCTGAGCTGGATTCAGACCAGCGACTCGGGGCTCCCGGGTGCCACAGCCCATGAGCGCCGCCGCCCCCCTGCCCATAGCACCCACCCACCCTCGAACCCTGAGAATCCAGCCCCGGTTTAACAGGCCAGGACAGTGCGCGACCCGGCTGACCTGACGTGGCATCGAGCACTTGTCTCTCTCCCCAGGCACTGAGGAGTGCAGCCGGCAGCCCTGGCCTCCTGGCCTCCCCCCGCCCCCCCATGAGAGCCAGTGCCGCCCCTTCCCCCACACTGCCACACCCTGCAGGCTGGAGTCCAGGTACGGATCTAGTCTGGCATGGGAAATGCTGGATACCAGGTGACACCCCCCTACGCCCACGGGCCCACCTGGGCCGCATGCGATTACTGTTATTACATGGCACCTGCCAACCCAACAGTATCTATCAGCACCATGAATAATAACGGCTCCGGTTCTACAGTCCAAAGGCCAGATTACTAGAGTATATACAGGCATTATTTTACGGCTCATATTACTAGAATATATAAGGTCACTACTGGGCAGGCCATATTGTTAGCGCATATGTGGTCCCTATTGCATGGGCCATATTACTCGACTGTACATGGTTATTATTGTACAGGCCTTATTACTAGTGTATATATGGTGATTATTGCAAGCGCCAGTTATAGGGCCATCCCACTATGTATGATCATGATAACATGGGCCATGTCACATGGTCACTACATGGGCCCTATTACCATGTATAATCATATAACATGACCTATTATATGATTATTAAACAGGAATATTACCATATACGAGGACTGTGTTATGCCCACGTTATTGCCCGGGCCGTATTGCTGTATATGGTCAGTGTTACACAGGCCATCTCATATAGTCAATATTGCCCGGGCCGTATTGCTGTATATGGTCAGTGTTACACAGGCCATCTCATATAGTCAATATTGCCCGGGCCGTATCGCTGTATATGGTCAGTGTTACACAGGCCATCTCATATAGTCAATATTGCCCGGGCCGTATTGCTGTATATGGTCAGTGTTACGCAGGCCATCTCATATAGTCAATATTGCCCAGGCCGTATTGCTGTATATGGTCAGTGTTACACAGGCCATCTCATATAGTCAATATTGCCCGGGCCATATTGCTGTATATGGTCAGTGTTACGCGAGCCATCTCATATAGTCAATATTGCCCGGGCCGTATTGCTGTATATGGTCAGTGTTACACAGGCCATCTCATATAGTCAATATTGCCCGGGCCATATTGCTGTATATGGTCAGTGTTACGCGAGCCATCTCATACAGTCAATATTGCCCGGGCCGTATTGAAGTAATATGATCAGTATTACGTGGGCCTGGCACGCTCCTTATTTCACAGGCACTATAATAAGTTGCTGGTCGCAAGGGCCATATTGTTGTATATGGGCATGGTACCGCTCTGTTCTATGAGCGCTCCTGCCCCCTCTGCCGTGCCCCGTCTCCACCCACAGCTAGTGGGGTAAAGAGGCTCAGAGAGACCCTGCGTCAGAAACCTCCACTCCCAGCATGCCGAGCGAGGCCATGGGGCAGACAAGATGTGCTGCCTCAGCCCACCCCCCAGCGCTGCACAGTGCCCCACGCCGGGAGGCTCGGCCTGTTGGCATTTAGGGACCATGCGGTGAAGGGAGGGATGGTGGAGGATGGGATCAAAACAGCACCGCAACTGGGAATGGGAGGGGCTAGTGAGGGAGGCGACGGAGCGAAGGATGGAAGGGGTGTCGGGGGGCTGCCAGGAAGGAAAGGGTTACTCAGGGGAGGTGCTGGGGTTTCCACCTTGTCTGAATCGGGGTCAAAGGGGAATCATGGAGGCTCCTTTGTTCCCACCACCTAACTCCACCCAGGAATCCCGAAGCCCGGCCCAAACCCGTCCACTGCGCTACATGGTATGTGAGGGACCCCTCGCCTGGCGCTGGGATGCAGCTGCCTCTGGGGTGAGGCGTGGGGGCCATTTATACAGGGACCCTTCACCCAGTGCGGAGATACAGCAGCCTTTGGGGTGGGGAATGGGGGCTGTTTATACAGGGACCCTGTGCCCGGTTCTGAGATGCAGCTGCCTCTGTGGTGGGGCAGAGGGGTTGGTTATACAGGGACCCCTCGCCCACTGCTGAGATGCACCCAGCTCTGGGGTGGGGCGCAGGGGCTAGTTATACAGGGACCCCTCACCCACTGCTGAGATGCACCCAGCTCTGGGGTGGGGCACAGGGGCTAGTTATACAGGGACTGGGAGTTAGTGCTTAGAGCAGGAGGACTGAGAGTCAGGACTCCTGGGTCCCCTTTCTAGCTTTGCCACGTACGCAGTGTGCGGACTCACAGAGGCCGTGGGGCAGCATCCGATTGGCAAAGCACTCGGGCACCCTCCGGCGGCTGGGCAAAGGGGCATGATCAGCATCGTCCTCCGGGATGCAAATCAAGGGGGCTTGTGGGAGCTTCAGGAGACAGTGTCTGCCCTGCCCCCATAGGAACGGCCCTTGGGGGGCTCTAGCCGAGACAGCGGGGGTCCCGTTTGGCCACCCTAGCTCCCAAGGGGGCACTCTGTTCTCCAGAGCGGCTGCCGGGGGGAGCAGGTGGGAACCCCAGCAGATGCACGTGGGAGACGGGTGGGGGGGTGTTTAGGAAGGGGGGGGTCACTGCAGTGAAATCGGCACATACCCACTTGTCCAAGTCGACACCCTAGAGCGTCGGCAGAGAAGCAAAGGAGAGAGAAAGGGAGAAGAGAAGAGATGAACCGACCGCCTGCCTGGGGGGGGGCTGGCTGGGACCCCCATCCAGGGCACTGCAGACCCCCCTCCCAGCTCCGCCTCTGCATGAGCAAAGGGCACAGGATAACCCACGGGCCGAGGGTGAGGGGACAAGGGAGGACAGTCAAAAGAACTGCTTGGGCCAGGCCTTTTCCTCCCAACTCGCCGGCGGCCTGGGGAACTCCCCACCACTAGACATTCCCGTGCTCGGCAGGGTTACCGAAAAGGCGGGGCCCAGCCAGACAGAGAGAATGGAGAGGGGGCCCAGAGGAGCCAGGGGGCCTCGGAGGGCTGCTCGTCATGGGGGTCAGGAGGGAACGTCCCACAGGGCAGGGGTTCTGGGCCATTCCTCAGAAGCAGCCGATGACGGGACCCTGGGCTGGATGGGCCCCTGGTTCTGCTCCAGCTCGTTCTACCCAGCCCCGAGCCTCGCCCTGCATTTCCCTTCCCTGATCGCTTTGTTCCCCTTCCCCAGCCCCCCACTGCCCCCCATCTCCCCCACTGCCCTCCAGCATCCGCTGTACACCCCAGGGAGACCCAGACACCTGCGGGGCCGACGGGCACAGCCATGGGATGGGGCGAGGGCCTCCCCTTTCACCCCCGGCAATGCCCACCCCATGTCTCCCCGTGCTCACCTCGCTGCCCACCTCCATGGTGTTCGCCAGCATCTCCTGTAGGGCGCGGACGGAGAGCGACTGCTCCAGGATGAAGCAGCAGATAGCCAGGTCCGGGGGGACATTCTGCGGGGAGAGGGGAACAGGGTCAGAGAGGGTTCTGCCATCCCCCAGGGGGGACCAGACACGCGGCCCTGGAGCCACGACCCCAAGGGGAGTTGTGGGGGAAGCCAGAGAGGACTGGAGGTGATGTGTGTGTCATAGCCCCCGCACTGCAACAGCCCAGGGGGATTCTACCCACAGGGGCTGACGCTTGGGGCAGAGGAAGGGGCTGAGGGAGCTGGGATTCTGGCTGCAAAGGGGGGTGGGAGATGGGGAGGGGTTCGGGCTGCAGGTTCGCTCCCCCCCCGGCCTGGGCCCAATGAGGACGGGGGGGGACGGGGCGCCGGGGGCTCACCTGGGCGTTGGAGGTCGACTCCAGGAAGCAGAGGCGGTTGCCGAAGCCCTCGGCCGCCAGGCACAGCTTGAGTTGCTCCTTGAGGATGGTGGCGGAGCACTGCAGGACGACTTCGTCCTCCTGGGGCAGGGAGACATGGGGGTGGCGGCTCAGGACTCCTGGGTTCTATTCCAGGCTCAAGGAGGGGAGGAGGGGACTAGTGATTAGAGCAGGGGAGAGGTTGGGAGCCAGGACGCCTGGGTTCTATCCCAGATTCTGCCACTGGGACGAACCCCTCCGTGCCCCTGTCCCCCACCCTGTAACATGGGAAGGGCCTCGACGGGGGTGTGTATGACAGGGGCTGGGGGTGGGTTACAGGGCCGCGGGGGGGGGGCTGACAGCTGGGGGTGGAGTATGGATCTCCCCCCACTCTTGACTGTGCTATCGTCAGGAATCGACCCCAGGAGTCCTGACTTGCAGCCCCTTGCTCAACCCCCTAGATCCCGCTCCCCTTCGGTGCTGGGGGGGAAAGATTCCTGCAGAGCCACCATACAACACAGTGAACAGCCCCTGCAAGTCCCCCCGAAATGCCCCCTCCCCTCCGCCCCTCAGGCCAGGGGTAAACAAGTCTCTGAGAGCAGCCACCGGTGCCCAGGCTCCAGGGCCCGCGGGCACCTGGCCCTGCCCATCAGTGGGGGGATCCCCCCGCACGCTGGCTTTCCCCTACACACTGCACTCAGAGAGCCAGCCGGCCGCTCCAGCAGAGTCAAACCGGAGTCACTCTGGATCTACCCCAGCGCTGGCAGGGGCAGGCCCGCTGCGTTCAGCTAATTAGCCCCATGGGGCTGTGGGGGCGGGCGAAGGCTCAGACACAAGAGAGACCCTGTGGAGGGGCGAGGGGGGGGCACATTCAACTGAGATGCAGCATCAGGCCGGGCGGTGCCAGCCCAGGTGTCGGGAGAACGACTCAGGGAGCAGAATTCATTGCCCGGGGCACCCGCCCAGTGCCAGCGGGCACCTCGCCTCCTGCCTACAGGCGCTCATTAGCCGCACACCCTGGGAGTTAGAGCGGGAGGGCGGGCTGGGAGTCAGGACACCTGGGTTCTCTCCCAGGCTCTGGGAGGGGAGTGGGGTCTAGTGATTAGAGCAGGGGCGGGGGCTGAGAGCCAGGACTCCTGGGTTCTCTCCCCAGCTCTGGGAGGGGAGTGAGGTGTAGTGGTTAGTGCAGGGGACTCCTGGGTTCTTCCCATTCCCCACCCCAACTTCACCCCTGGGGTGAAGTGCGGGGCCTGTTTATACCGGGAACCCTCATCTGGCACTGGGATGCAGCCACCTCTGGGGTGGGGCGCAGGGGCTGGTGAGCAGCTGCCCTGCATTTTAAGACAGGAAGTGACGGGATACAGCATCCTCTTAAAACTGCAAGGCAGGCAGAGCAGCTGAAGATACAGCGCTGAGGATGGGGGTGGGGGGTGTTGCATTCGGGGGGGGAGCCCCCTGCCATCCCTGGCATTGGGGGGCAGAGCTCAGGGCCCCGCCAGCGCCCTGGGGCTCTCATGACGGCCAGGTAGATGCGGCTCCCTCCACATGTCCCAGCCAGGCCCCACGGCCACCCCCAGACGTGACTGCCCCCCCGGCCCCTGACAGCCCATCCCCACTGCTCTGCTCCCCTCCCCACCTCCCTCCAGGGACCCATCGAGGCGCATCCCCACCCCCCAACTGCCCCCCCCCCACTCCACTGCCCTGCCCAGGCCAACTTGGGTTACAAGACAGGTGCTATTTCCACAGGGGAATGTGCTGGGTCAGCACCCGCTGTGCTACCATTCCTCCCCCTGCGGGGAGCTCAGCCCCGCCCGGACCCACCGAGCCAGGGCACAGCAATGGGGGGCCCGTCCCCTGCCCCCTGGCCTAGGGAGAGGGGTGGCACCGCTGGCTCCTGCATTTCCAGAGCCCTACCCACGCCATGCAGGCTGTGTCGCCCGGCGTCTGCACCCACCGCCCCTGCCCCCAGGAACCAGGCCTCCGGGGCTTCAATATGCCAGGCCAATGGCACATACTCGGGGGGGGATGTTGTGTGTATGACGGTAGCACCCCGAGTCCCCCATCAAGATCAGGGCCCCGTAGCGCCGGGTGCTGCCCAGACCCCCACCGAGATCAGGGCCCTGTCGCGCCGGGCGCTGCCCAGACCCCAACCAAGATCAGGGCCCCATCGTGCTGGGCGCTGCCCAGACCTCTACCAAGATCAGGGCCCCATCGTGCTGGGCGCTGCCCAGACCTCTACCAAGATCAGGGCCCTGTCGCGCCGGGCGCTGCCCAGACCCCCACCGAGAGACAGTCCCTGCCCCACATCTACAGAGCTCTGGCAGCCAGAGGAAAGATGATCATCCCCATTTTATAGATGGAGAAACTGAGGCCCGTGAAGGCCAAGTGACTTAGCCAAGGTCAGTCAGGGAGTTAGTGGCAGAGCCGGGGATTGAACTGAGATCCCTTGGCCCCAGTCTGATGCTCTAACCCCCAGGCCACCTCTCCTCTCAGCACAGAACCCCGGGCAGGAGGGGCACACAGAGCCCCTGGCATGGGGGAATGGGGGACCGAGCCCTCCCCAGCCCCCCAGGAATAGCGGGTGCCCCCCACCCTGGCCTGAGCCCCAGCAAATAGATCTGCCTAGCGCCAGGGTTCCAGACTGCCCTGCCCCCCAGGTCCCTCGGCAGCTAGACTCCAGCCATGATGCGGGAGCCGGGGGAGAACCCGGCTCCGGGCCAGAAGGACCAAGCAGGTGGCACGGAAGTAGGGGGCCAAGGTGGGGCCGTTCCTGCCCCAGCCCCACCTCTGCACCGCCCGGAAAATGCCCGAGCGAGGGCAGATCCCCGGCCTGGGAAAGGCCGCCCGGCCCCCACCCGCGGCGGCTTTGAAAGAGACGCAGGCGGCTCAAAATAGACGGCTCCTCTCCGGGGAGGGGGAGCAGCGATTATCAGCACCGCAAAGCAATTACCGAGCCCCAGCCTGGCCCCCCCGCTGGCCCCCAGGGGCGGCACCGCCAGGGAACGGGTTTTGAGGACAAGATGGAAGGAAATGGAGAAGTGGCTGCGCCCTCCCCACGCCCTTGAGAAATAAGGGACGTGCCGGGCTTTTAAGGGCAGAGGCGTTTGGGGGGGCTTCTGGGAGGAAATGGGACCCCCCCCCCCGATCGCTCCCATCCCCCCAGCTCAGGCCGGGAGCTTATTTTTGGAGCCTGCACCTGTCAGACACATTCCTGCAAACACAGCTACGCGCATTGCTGGTGGTGCGGTCTGTGCCTATGGGGGGGGGGACCCCACAGAGCCCCCCCAGCCCTCCCCACTGACACTCACGCAGTCCTGGCTCCTGCTAGACCCCACTCTCCTCCCAGAGTTGGGGAGAGAACCCAGGAGTCCTGGCTCCCAGCCCCTTGCTCTAACCACTAGACCCCACTCCCCTCCCAGCACTGGGGCCGTCCCCTCCCAGAGCTGGGACAGAACCCAGGAGTCCTGGCTCCCAGCCCCCACTCCCCTCCCAGAGCCGGGGACGAGAACCCACGGAGTCCTGGCTCCCAGCCCCCCTGCTCTGACCACCTGGTCCCCACTCCCCTCCCAGAGCTCGGGGAGAGAACCCACGGAGTCCTGGCTCCCAGCCCCCCTGCTCTGACCACTGGTCCCCACTCCCCTCCCAGAGCTGGGGAGAGAACCCAGGAGTCCTGGCTCCCAGCCCCCCTGCTCTGACCACTGGTCCCCACTCCCCTCCCCCCAGCTGTGGCTGCCCCCTGGGTTGTGTGGCAGTGTCACATGGGCGGGCGGCAGGCGGGATATTTGGTTTCACGCACAAACTGGTAGGAAAATCTAGGCAGCAGCAGATTCCTCCTCTCCCTGCTGCCCCCCCCCCCCGAACAGCTGAGCTGAATTTAGGACACAGCCCCCCCACACACTCACACGCCGGCCCTGTCTTTTTTCAGAGCATGAATCAAAGTACTCGTATCTCCTGCTGGGGTCACCCAGCGCCAGGGCAGCAGTCGGCCAGCCGGAGACCTGCACCGACTGAATGCGAGCTGTGAGAATATGGTGCGGACACCACCCCTGTCCCAGCCCCCCTGCTCTAACAACGAGACCCCCCTCCCCTCCCGTCCCCTCCCAGAGCTGGGACAGAACCCAGGAGTCCTGGCTCCCAGCCCCCACTCCCCTCCCAGAGCCGGGGATAGAACCCAGGAGTCCTGGCTCCCAGCCCCCTGCTCTAACCACTAGACTCCACTCCTCTCCCAGAGTCGGGGAGAGAACCCAGGAGTCCTGGCTCCCAGCCCCCTGCTCTAACCGCTAGACCCCACTCCCCTCCCAGAGCTGGGGAGAGAACCCAGGAGTCCTGGCTCCCAGCCCCCTCCGGGTTATTTCCTGGGCTCTGTGAGTTTAGCCGCAGCCTTGTCCCCCCATGGGAATTTCTCTGGGCCCAGGAGCCGCTCGGAGTGACCCCAGGGTCAGGGGGAGCCCAACCCCCGCCGTGGCCCTGCGTCCCACCTGCTCCCCGGCAGCCTGGCCTAGTGGTCTTAGCGCAGGGCTGGGGAACTGGCCGGAGCAGGGAGTGACCCAGGGGCTGGGGTGGAGCTGAGGGCTGGCGCCGGGGGCGTGCCATGGGGCAGGGGCAGACAGGGTGCCAGGCCAAAGGGGCATCAGCGTTATCGTGGGGGCAGAGCGCACTAGGCCATGGGGAATGGCCGGGGGATCGGGGCTGCTTGGTGCCATCGGGTGCTGGAGGAGGCAGTGTGTCTGCTTGGGGGCTGGGTATGGGACCACGCCCCATGCTGAACCCCCTCCCCCACCACCCCGCATCCCCTCCCCACCTCACAGCATCCCAGCCCCACTCCCTCCACTGCATCCCCTCCCCCACCACACTGCATCCCAACCAGCCCCACTGCATCCCAACCAGCCCCACTGCATCCCCTCCCCACCTCACAGCATCCCCTCCCCAACACACTGCATCCCAGCCCTGCTCCTCCACTGCATTCCCAAACACACTGCAGCCCAGCCA